TAGGCTATAAACCCTGAACATGATTTGAGCACCCTAACTAGTCCATAACAGTGATTTCCATAACATAACTGAGCATAGACATAGTAAATTGTTTATAATTTAAAACATGTATCAGCACTTACCTGATAGTCGCCGGAGTGTAAGCTTGACGTGATCTGGTATTTTAAAAAAAAGTTTTGACTCTTAAAACTATTCAGAGACGCAGAAACGTGCTCTGATACCAACTGTAAGACCCCGCTTTAACTTAATTATCAGAGTACTTTTTAGGACATCTTTTAAAAATAATTTGAGAATATGATTCGGAGTGTTACTATAATATTTATTTTATCTTTAAAAATCCGTTACGGCCGTTTAAGATTGGCCGTAACGGATTTTTAAAGATAAAATAAATATTATAGTAACACTCCGAATCATATTCTCAAATTATTTTTAAAAGATGTCCTAAAAACGTACTCTGATAATTAAGTTAAAGCGGGGTGTTACACATCTTCACCTTTCTTTTCCAATAATCAAAAGAACTTATTCTATCAAAGAAAGGTGGTTTGCCCCCCACATGGTTGAACACAATTTGAGCCATTGCACACCGAGGTTGTTAAGCCTTCAAATTAAGGTGACCACGGCTCCGATACCACTTGAAAGGTCCTAATTGGCTAGAGGGGGGGTGAATAGCCTAATTTAAAATTCTACAAACACTCTTAGCAAACTTGTTAGAATAACAAATGGCTATAAGCAAGTTTGCCTAGCTCTAGTGTGTCGGCAAGCCACCTAAATGAGCAATGCTAGTTCTTATGATCACTAAGTCACACAACAAAGCTATGTCACTAGTTTACTCTTAGGTGAAAAAGGCAAGCACTAACTAGCAACTACTCAACTAGCTAGCAAACTAAACAAGCTAAGCAACTTGCAAGAATGAAAGCAAAGTAATGCAAGTTTGAGTTTAGCGAGTATACCACCGGTGAAGAGTAGGGGATGTCAGTCACAATAAGATATCCAATCAAACACAAAGAGACACAATGATTTATCCCAGAGGTTCACTTGTTTGTCCACAAGCTACGTCCTCGTTGTGTCCCCCACAACCACGTGATCCGGTGACTAATTGGTATCACACACCAAGCCTCTTCACTAGGCGTCACAAGGATCTACCAATGGTTTGGAGTTGCAATGACACGAGCAATTTGTTAGAGTAGGATACCCGGCGTTCCAATCAGATTGGACGTATTCTACTTGTAAATACTATCTATTGGAATTGTATTATAAATAAAGGCATTTCTTTATCTTAAGAGTAAACATTTATCATATAATTGTACTTAAGATAAAATCCCTAAATCACTTATGGTTATAAGGTATGGTTGCGCATAGAGATGGTGATCATGGAACATACCTTGAAAGCTGTGATTTTAAATACAGTTTCAAGTCGAAGGATGTTTCGAGACGGGATATCGAATAATCCATAAAAGACTTGCACATAGTATGTATGCTTATTGGATAAGAATGTTGCATTCCATCAACATTAGTGTAAGACGCAAATACATATATGTGGGTGCTTGTTAGAGAACAAGTTCACTAAACATGACCGTATGAAAATACTTAATGAAAGATTTGTCTTGTCGAATAAGTATTTTCATGTTACAATAGTACATGACTAATCCTAAGACTTGAGACACGATAGTAACTTTGTGCATATTATGTTTTACTTTGATTTATCCTTTTGGTTGCTAGCACAATCGTATAAAGGGATATTTTGGGTATTACATTAATATGTATGGAAGTTTGTCAGTGACCAACAAAGGATTCGACACTTATGAAGATAAGTGAATTTCCTATGTGTTTCATAGTTAGTAATTCAAAGTCCTTGGCCAAGGCGGGATGAATAGAGATTCATACACGGATTACTAAACATGAAATAGAATCATAGTTATTAAATCAATTTGGGTTTCGACTAAAATCATACCCAAGATTTAATCGGGAAATTGGATGTCGAAAAGATTTTACATGTATGTACTTGTAATAGAAATAGGTTTACTCGCTATTCACTTAATACTAGATTCATGCTACTTGCTAGATGTTCCCATGATATGTGGGCTCTTGAATTAAGGAGTTAATTCAAGAATAAGTGTTAATAAGATTAACACAAATTACAAAGAGTTGTAAGCCCACTACTAGTATTAATTGTGAACCTAAAAGGTCACACCAATGTTTTGTATAAAGACTAATGTTAGTATTTCTAAAGAGTTAGAATTAATTGACAATATCTAATTTTGATTAGATGTCAATTAAATGAAATATATATTACTTAATCAATAGAATTGATTAATATTAATTTAGTGATTAATGTAATTACTAAATTAATAAGTTGGATTTTAAAATAGGATTTTAAAATTCAAATCCATATAATAATATGATTATTATATAAGGAGAATATTAAATATAGAATATATATATATCAACAAATGATTTTAAAAGAGTTTAAAATTATTTGTTTATTATTATTATTTGATTTTTAATATTGATTAAAAATTAAATAATGATAATAATATAATAATGGTGGCTTGCACATTATTATATTTGTTGTATTAACTTGTAGAAATGATAAAAGATTTTTTAACTTTGCTTGTCAAAGTTATTAAAGACTTTATTACATTTCTTGAAAGAGTTATACAAGATATATATATTTTATTACTAAAAAGTTTAGTATAAATATGTGCATGGTTGATGTTCATTATTGGCTACAATTGTGTTTACAATTTTTACATATTGTTGAGAGATAAAGAGTTATTTTTCAAGTGTTGTAATTACAAGAATAGTTCTTGTTGTATTCTCCTTTATAAATATATATTTCTATACTAAGTATAAAACCGAGTGTATCCCTACTAGCGAAGGAGTCGTCTCGGAGTCGGAAGACAAACGGTGGATACATTTAGAGGGAAAACAAGTGGGTTCCTAAAGCGAGCAAACCGAACCGTTCATTGTTCATCCGGGAATCAATTTCCTCAACTTCCATCATCAAGAAGAAAGAGTTCA